TATGCCTCCCTTGCTGTGTTGGGAGAACCAAGTCCAATGTTTCCCAGATTTTTTAATTTGGTGGCCTCTCCTGTGGCTCAGAGACAAGCAGCTTGTTGGCTGACTCACACAGCTCAGGTGGGGCAGGACTCAGAGCAGGGCCAGGTGTCCAGGCTCACAGCCCCTGCAGCCTGCAGAGCAGCGTGACTCTGTTAACAGTTGCCTCTTTGTGTTTGATCTAGGTCTGGGATGTTAAGCAAACAGCAGCTGCCCTGGGGCCAGGAATGCTCTGTGAAGCTCTCTCCCCACAGAGACTACCAAGATGTGGCCCAGTCTGCACCCAGGGCCCCCCACAGCTTCATCACGCAGCAGCCTGAAGCTGCAGTTGCCTGGTACAGGGCTCAGTGCCAGCCGCCGGCCATCTTTCTGCAGCAGTTCCTGGGCCCAGCTCACCTCATCTCAGACCTGACATAGAGGTCCTGGCTCTGACCACTCCTTCCTACAGTAACCCAGGGCCCTGAGACCCAACCCCCTCCCTCAGAAGCCAGGCCAACTGACATAAACAGAGACTACTGCAGAGCCCTTTCTCTGGGCCAGCTTCTATGCCGAGGCCTATGGGGGACAGAGACCTGCAGGAGCTGCATGGTCAGGTCCAGGCAGGATGCAGCAGGCTCTCACAGGAGCTCCAGTTTGGCTGGTGATGAGTGAAGGCGGGATTTGACCCTCTAAATCAGCCTTTTCTCTCCCATTACGGGGGCCTACCCCTACCTTCCAGTCCAACTGCCATTGAAATTGACTGGAATCAGCAAGCATGCAGGTGCCTGGGCCCTTCTCCTTCTTGGCCTTGTCGAAGAGCCTAGGTGGTCAGAGGGCCAGAAGGTAAAGGACCCTACACTCCCAACCTATAAAAAAAAGTCACCTGAGGGTCCCAAATCCACCCAGCTAGTTGGTGTTCAGGGGCAGCAGTGACACCAAACAAACTCCAGGCCTCTGGACTTCTGGTTCAGTTTTCTCTCTTTGCTTGATATACACAACATGTTATCTCAGGCATTCAGACACATCTGACTCTTTTTTTTCTAAGTATTTAAAAAGAGATTTCATTTGAAAGGCAGACTTATAGAGAAAACAGGAGAGAGAAAGAGAGCTCTTCCATCCACTGGTTCACTCCTCCAATGATCACAGCTAGGGCTACACCAAGCCAAACCAGGAGCCTAGAACTCCATCTGGGTTCCCAGCATGGGTGGCATGGGTCAAAGCAGGCAGGCCATCCTCTGCCACTTTCCTAGAATCTTTAATAGGGAGCTGGATCAAAAGTGGAACAGCCTGGACTCCAACTGGAACTCAGATGGCATACCGATGTTGCTGACAAGCACTTAAGTCTTCTATGTCCAAACACTAGTCCCATATATCCGCCTTTATCCTCTTCCCCTAAACTGGGCAGCTTGCAATGTGTCTGCCTACAGTATCGCAGCAGAAAATTCCCAGGTTTTCTCTGCCTGCCGTCTGCACCCCTCTGCTGTTCTCTAACTCAGCGGGTGTGGGATTCTCCAAGTCCTTCCTTCCCTTGTGACCTTGGTACCCAAAGCAACACATGGAGCAGCTCTGCTGTGCGAAGCACCATGGGAAGACCAAGAGGAGTACAGGCCTCCAGCCTAGGGGCGTGAACACAGCAGCAGGGAAGATGAATATTAAAGGAACAGTGAATTCACCAGGCAGAAACACCTGCTCGGTTGAAGTGTGGATGGGGTGAACACTTGCTGAACCAAGCCTTCAGTGGAAACACCAAGCAGCCCGTAGTTTGACAGGAGGTCACTGAGGAATTCCTTGTGGAGCTTGTCTTAAGCTCAGATAAAGGGTTTGACAGACAGAAGGCGGGAGAGATCAGGAGGCACCAGCATGCCAGAGGACATGAACCATATGATATGTGAAAGTACTTGGATGTGTTTGGAACTTAGTGAGGAAAGAAGTGGAAGATCCAGGAGGAAAAAAATCATGCCTAATGTCTCAGGTATCATGGAGCGACTAGTGACAATGATGCTGCACTCTTCACTCTGTGAGCATCTCTTTCCTCACACGCTAGAGCCCAAAAAAGCTCAAACTGTGAGTGTTTTTATGTTCCCATGTATCAAGACAAGAACTTGGGACACAGAGGCATAAGCAGTCCAGGCAATCGAACGATCTGCATGGAGGGCAGACATGTGCTGAGCCAAATTCCTCCATGTAGGGACGTGCAAGCTGAGGCCCAGGGAGGAGAGGCTGGCTTGAGCACCACAATGGACTACATAACCAGGAGCAGGTGCAGGAGGTCTTGGATAGAAGGAAGTAGGGTGGCCTGCTGGGTCTGAGGCATCCCATCATCTTGGGGATGAGAGGAGAGGACTCCTACCTGCAAGTCTGAAGGGGTTTTAGAAATCTCAACAGGAACCCACTGGGCTCCATCACCATAACTCCCTACAGAAGAGAAGGAAGGGGAGGAGAGCCAGGCCGCCCCTAAGCTCCAAAGCCAATGTGGCTGTGTCAACTGCTCCTCCCTGCTGGGTGCTCTCACCCCACACATAATGATGCCACAGGAAACCCCGTAGCCAGGGGCATGTGTCTGGGTCTCCCCTCACTCATTGTGTGCCCTTGGGCAGCCCTGTCTCTGCTTGCCGGACCTTGGTTTCCTCATCTGTAACATGACACGGCTTGACTGGTGACATCTAAAGGTCCTTCCAGGTCTGAAGTGCTGTGAAAACAAACTTCATCACAATCAATAATAGATGACTTACCCCTAAAGTCAGGGTTCCTTTTCCCTTTTCAAAACTCCACCACTTGTGATATCCCCTTTGGTATGCACTGAAGTCTGGCTTGGTGGCCAAAAGCAAGTGGACCCTGGCCTCATACTTTTTCACCCTGCAAACCGAATCTAGCAAGCCACTTGCTCATCTATACAGCCTTCGGGGGGTACTGGTTTCTGGGGCCTTTATGGCTCAGAACCGCAACATCAGAAGTGCACAGAAACTAAGATGCAAAAGCCAGCAAGTTTCTTCTAGAGATCAAGGGGGAAAGCTTTCCCTTGGCCAAGTTCGTGGTCAGAGGGCAAGACCAGGAAGTTGTGTCTGCAGAGGAGCAAAGATCTTCCTTTCTGGGAGAACAGCTGCTATGGATTCAGGTCTCTTCCATCAGGCTCTGACCAGAGATGAACCCTCAGGAAACAGAAGCTGTTGAAGAGCCTCATATCACCCAATCTGTACCCAGGCAGTCTTCTCTGATCCCCTTAAAGCAGAGAGCTCAGGAGAGGGTGCAGAGTTGAATGAAATTGAGGTTCAAGAAGCCATGGAGATGAAACTGGGCTTGAGACAGACCGACAGCAGCCATGTTCCAGCTGAGTGCCTTGGGTGGTATTCTGCCTCAGTTTCTCAACCTATCAAACAGGCATAACCATATGCATCTTTCAGGATTGTGGTAAGGACCAGGAATAATGAACTTAACTGTGTGTCGCGTGACACATAGCAGATGTTTGATAAACACTTGCAGTGAACAAATAATTGGGGGAATGAATGGGTTGGTGGCCCTCCCCAGATGCTGTGGACAGAGTGCAGCAACTAGCAGCAGCAAGTCAGCCCGGGATGGCTGCGCCTGGGCCAGGGACCCTGGGGCCTCTTCTGTGTCTTTTTGTGTGGCCCCATGCCAGGGTCCTGTGCAGGACTCTGGCCCTCCTTGGCACCAGAATTCACATTCCAAACATTCTGCTCACCCAGCACATACAAGCCTGGAGCTGAGCAAGTCCTGTGGGAGCATCTGCAACAACTTCCTACAAGGCATAAAGATGGCAGGTGCCAGGAAGGGCAGCGACCAGGACCCTTCCTTTATCACCAGCACAGTCACCTTGTTGGTGAGTGGAGAAGCAAAAAGACAAGGAGTGGGCCAGTGTGTGTCTCCAGCCGAATCCCACCTTCTCTATTCCAGCCAGATCCCAGCCCTGTGGGGACATCCCAAGCTGGTGTCCAAGGCTGGCCCTGGCAACCCAGCCCAAGCTCAACCTGGGTACACTGACGCAGGCCATTCTGCAGGGCCCTTGGGGGCAGAGCAGAGGGCCCCAGGAGCCCAAGCTGTGCCTTCTCATCCCTTTCCAGGAGCTGTGTTGACTGCTCCCCAGAGCCAGACTGTCCCCTGGGTGTCGCTCATGTACGCACAGTTCTGCAGCCGGGCCTGCCTCTTCTTAGGACAGCCAGGGTCTGGCACAGGACAGGGAGTATGGCCCAGGAGGAAGGAAAGCTTGGCAGAGTCCCAGGGCTGTCCCTGCCTCACTGCCTGCCCTTGGCTGTTACTGCACCTCCCTGTGCCTCAGTTCCTCCATGCGTACAGGAAGAAGCAGGACAGCCAGGCCAAGGCCCCTGCCAGTCGGACAGCTGTTGGGGATGGGGTGGGGAGCAAGACCCACTCTGCTGCTCCTTCCCCTTCCTTGTTTCACCATCTTCTTCTGTGATATCAGTTTACCTCTTGCTCTCTGACACAGTCAGTCTCTCTCTCTCTCTCTCTTTCCCTCCCTCCCTCCCCCCACTCTTTCCCACTCAAGCTGTTCTTTGTGCTTCAACTTCCCTTCTGTGTGTTTCTGCCTGCTTCTGGTACTTCTGTGTCTGTCCATCCACCTCGGGATCTCTCTCCTATGGGGTCTCTTCCCCGGGGCCTCGATCTGCCACTAGTTATCTCTGCCTCTGGCTGGCTCACGCTCTCTCTCTTTCTCTCCTCCCCTCCCCCATGTCTCCCTCCAATTCGCCCTCTCTCCCTCCTGCTCTCTCTCTCTTTTCTCCCTTTGCCACCTCCTCTGTCCGGCCCAGGCTCTCCCGCTCGCCGCCCTGCCCTCCCTCCCTCGGCCGTCTCCCCAGTCCTTATTTGGCTGGGCGGGAGGGCTGGCGGGAGGAGGCGGCCTGCGGGCGCGGGGCGGGGGCGGGCGCGGGGCTGGCGGAGGAGGGCGGTGGGTGGTGCTGAAGGGACAGCTCCGCGGCGGCGGCGGTGGCCGCGGGCGCGCAGTGGGCGCCGAGAGCCGAGCGCAGCCATGCCCCAGGCCGCCTGTGGGGCAGCAGCAGCGGCGGCCGGGGCGCGGGCCGGGGGCGCCGGGGGGCCGGCGGCGGCCCGGGCGCCACGATGAAGCGGCAGAACGTGCGCACGCTGGCTCTCATCGTGTGCACCTTTACCTACCTGCTGGTGGGCGCCGCGGTCTTCGACGCGCTCGAGTCCGAGCCCGAGATGGTGGAGCGGCAGCGGCTGGAGCGGCGGCAGCAGGAGCTGCGGGCACGCTACAACCTCAGCCTGGGCGGCTATGAGGAGCTCGAACGCGTCGTGCTGCGCCTCAAGCCGCACAAGGCCGGCGTGCAGTGGCGTTTCGCCGGCTCCTTCTACTTCGCCATCACCGTCATCACCACCATCGGTAACTATTCGCTTGGCGGGGGCGAAGGGGGGACAACGAGGGGTAGGGAGGTGCGGACACGGGTTGGGGGCCGGCAGCAGAGACTGGGGTCCCCGGAGAGAAGCTGGGCCACCCACCCCCGCTCCGCGCCCCCAGGAGCCAGGGCTCAACCAAGCGGGTCCTCTGCGCTGGGCTGGGGACTCGGGGGAGGCGGCGATTCTTGGCTCAGGACCGGCCCCTCCAGCCGGGCCAGCCCTAACTTGGCCCTGCCAGGCCGCGCCAGGTTCCCCAGGGGACTGTGAAGTGTGTGAGAGGGGGCAGGCCGGGCCGGCGGAGACTAGGGAAGGAGGGGTGTGGCCGCGCCGGCCCCGGAGCCGGGCTCTGGGCGTGAGCGGCAGGGAGCGCGCCGCTGCTCCGCGTAGCTCCTCGGCGTGGGCTCCGCACCCCGGCGCGTCCACACCTGCCGGGCTCCAGGGAGGCGGGAGGACGCCCTACCCGGACGCTCGCTCAGCGGCATTCTGGGCACCAGAAACACCCTCTGTCCCCAGGGGTTGTGAGTGCTGCTCAGGGTGTGTGCGCGCGCGTGTCCTCCGTGTGGGGTGTGTGTGTGTGTGTGTGTGTGTGTGTGTGTGTGTGTGTGTGTGTGTGTGTGTGTGTGTGTATTGCCCGGGTTGTGTGTGCGCGCGTGTGCCCAGGTCCAGGAGGACTTTAGTCACCAACAACCAGTGCCTGTAATTTTCTTAGAGCAGCTGAGCCAATGCCGGAAGCCAAATCCAGCCTCACCAGCCTTCTCCTCTCCCCCTATCTGCAAAACAGTCACCTCACAGCAATGGCCCCAAACCAGGCCACATGCTCACCCAGACTCTGTGACAACAGAAGCACAAGCACACATACTCGGGTACAGCACACAGACGAGTGTCCAGCAAAGGGGTCCCTAGCCAGGCTCTTGAAGGTGCTGTCCAGTGTGTCCAGACAAGAGCAAACACTGCACCTGCTCCTGAGACCCCCAGGACCCCCCACACCTAGCCCCATCACTATGCCACTGTGTGACCTTGGACGGGTCCCTTTCCCTGTGCTGGTCTCAGGCTCACCTCCAGACAGGGGGAGGTTGGCCAACCAGATCTCAAGGACGCCTCCTAGCCCCGACGTGCCTGGATTTTGAGATGGGAAACCCACCTTCCCCCAGGGCCCTTTGGGATGCCTCCAGGAGCTGTGTCCACCCTCTTTCCCGCTCCTTCTCCCCTCCCTGTCTTGGCTGAGCCTCTAGGGGCTCCTTGCCATTTGGCATGGCCCATGACAAGATGGCAGTGTTTTCCTGGGAGTCAACAGGCGTGGAGGGGGTAGAAGGCAGGGCTGGCCACTGTGCCGGCAGTCTAACCACTGCAGGACTTTGTTCCAAAGCTCTGCTGCTGTCTGGGGTGGGCGCAGCACGGGGAGCTGTGCCTTGTAGTTTCAGAACCATATCTTTCTAAAAAGAGCAAGAGAAGGGGCCCTAGGTGTGGATGTGGCACCTCTGGGTCCTGCCAATCCTGTGAATTTAGGATAGTATGATCTCACCCAGGTCTTCCCAGAGAGAGGGTTGCTTCCCTGAAAAGGACGAGGGACACGTTTGCTCCTGGGTCCCCTTCCCTCTGGCACCCTACTGCCACCTGCCAGGGTCCCCAGGACTGGCCGAATGCATGGAGAATCGGAGTGGACATCCTCCCGCCTTCTGTCTCCCTCTTCCCACTTGTCAAGCCCTTGCTCCTTGCCCTTCCCTTCTTCATCCCATTGCCCCCAGCTCCTAGCAACCTCCTCGCCTCTAGCCTCATTCCCCCAACCAGGACAGCTTACCCCTGAACCAGAATGCTAGAAAGACTCTCCCCAAACACAACTCTTTCACCAGACCAGTTCTGTTCTCAGAAGCTCCCAGTGGCTCCCCATCCCTCCCCCAATGGTCCACACTTCTTGTCCCTGATTTTAAGGACCTGCATCCCTGGCTCCAACCTTTGTGTCTGACTTCACTCTTCACTTCTGCCTCTCCCGTGGCCAGGCAGTGCCCCCAAGCACACCTTACATGTGCTTGTTGGGTGCACCTTATCCTCAGTCTATTGTTTATCTTGTCCAAACCAACCGTCTAAGTCCCACACAAATCCTCTCTTCCTTCGAAACCTCCAAGGGCAATTGGAGAGGACTTAGTGTCAGGACGACCTGCCTGAGACAGTGCAGGCACTTTGGAACAGTTATTTACATTTTCAGGGATGTGCTGTGTCTCTTTAATCATACAATAACTAACCTCCACGTGGCCCAGGCCCTGGGACTCCCTTCCTGGGCATAGTACCCAGTGGCCTGTCATGATCACTTAGAGATGGGCTGAAGGTGGGCAGAATAGAGAGGGTGCTGTCTGGCTCCTCCATCTCTGCTATTTCCCCAAGTGCTTGGTTTCCCCCAACAAAGGAGATGCTAAAAGCTGGATATGGAGGCAGATGGGGTGCCCTTTCAATGACTAGATTCAAGCACATGGCAAGAGCCAACATCAGGCTCCCCTATATCTGGAGTATGCAGGGGGTGGGGGAGTGGCTCCCAGATGGACACTGCCCACTCTGAACCATCTCTGGCTTTTTGTCACCTACCACTTCAATGGTGCCACTTAGCCAGAAGCTGTGCAGAAGGACTCTGTTCTGAGAAAAAAAAAAATCAGCCAGGGCTATGAACAGATAGTTGGAAAAGGACCTTAAGTCTGATTGATGTTACTGATCTGACTCTGAAGCCAACAGTCCCTGTCCGTCTGACCCCTTGGGGATCCTGAAAGGGCCCCTCCTTTTGAGACCCGGGAGCCCTGTCAGGATGGAACCATGCCTGAGTGTCCCATTGGCTTAGCCCCTTTGTGCCCACAGTGCTCTCATCCCCAGTCCCAAGCATTAGACCTCACAACTGAGGGGAGTCACCAGGCTAGCGTCCAGACAAAGGTGGAGAGGCCTGGGGTAAGGGCAAGAGCCTCTCCATCACAGTATGTCCCAGCTGGGATACAGTGGGGTCAGGACTGGCAACTGGGTCCTCCAACTCCAAGCCAAGGGCTCTCTCTCTCTCCCTACTTGGCTCTGTGCTGCTTCCCTGGCTTCCATGTGCTGTGAAGCCCAGACATGGCTGGGCTTTGTCTGGCAGAGCCAAGACGTGCTAGGGAATGCCAGTGTGCGGGACACACAAGGGCAACCCTGACTAAGGACAGTTGGCCTTAGTAATTCACCTGTTAGTAACCAACTCCACTGATGGCAGGGCTTCCTTCAGCCCCTTTGTCCCTGACTTCCCAGCCAGGAAAATCTTCCTTCGTTGTACTCCAAGTTCCCCAAACACAAACTCATTTCTTGGAAAACCTAACCCTTGTAAGCCGTTGAGTCACTTAACTCCTCCAGGGCCCCAGCCCCATCTATTCATAGCTCAGGGGCTGTCGGAGCAGGAGGGGCTCGGAGATCAGCTGGCACAACCTCTGTCTCTTACAGAGTGGAGAACGGAGCCACACGTTGGAGCAATGTGGTTGGATGTGACAGCCATACCTCACTCTCCCCTGCTTCCCTCCAGGTGCCTCCTTATTTATTATTTTCATTAGCAGCCACAGTGATAACAGCAGTTACTGCCTATTGTCTGTCTTTTTGAGATATTATTTGAAAGGCAGAGCTACAGAGAGAGGGAGACAAAGAGAGAGAGCTTCTGTCTGCTGGCTTGCTCCCTAAAAGGCCACAGTAGCTAGGTCTGGGCCAGGCTGAGGCCAGGAGCTAGGAACCCCATACAGGTCTCCCACATGGGTAGCAGGAACACAAGCACTTATGCCATCCTCTGCTTTCCCATTTGTAGGGAGCTGAATTGGAAGTGGAACATCCGGGGCTCAAATTGGTGCTCAAATAGGATGCTAGCATCACAGATGGGGCTAAACCCACGGGGCTACAACCCTTCTGACCCCACCCTACTATCCACTCTTTGCCAGGCCGTCTCCTAGCTCCTCATTTGTGTGCCCTCATTGACTGCCAGCTATCCTGCCAGTCCTTTACCACAGCCCTCATTATTCTCACTGCCCAGAAGAGACCCCTGGGCTCAGTCGCAGTGCCACCCAGACTCCCATACTCTGCACTTCTTACCAGTCCTTACTCCACTTCACACTTGCCACCCAGAGCTGGAGTTGTACCTCGGCGACCAAGGAGTCCAAGGCTTTCCCCCTGGCAAAGTTGCTCCCTCCCCCAGAGGAGAAGGCCTGTGGCTCCCGCCAGCCCCAGCCACCTGCCACTTCCCTGCACCTTGGCTCCCTGCCCAATCCAGACCACGTGTCAGAGCTGTGCCGGGCACCAGGACTGGCACAGGCTCACAGGTGCTGGTTTTCCCACCACAGCTCCCGGGAATCCTGTGGCTCTAAGGCAACGAGCAACCAAGCCATCATCTCACTGACAGAGCCAGGGCAGGAGGCCTCTTCTTCCTGCGGCAGCTGCCCTGTGCCCAACTGAGCACAGCCTGCACAGCTCCCCACATGGCCTGGAAACCCTGTTGCAGGGAATCCAGGCTTGGTGGCACTTGAGGAAAGCTATCTGTTGGACATCTTTCTGAGAAGATGGGGAATGTGCATCCCCAAAACCTCCAGAGGAGCTAGTCACCATCATCAAAAGCCCAGACCAGTGAGCAGCTTGCTCAGGGTCACCCAGTAAGGACAGCATCAGATACTGTAAGAGCCCAGGCCTCCAGGTACCCATGCAGGCATTCTCTCTAGCACCCCAGCTTGCTCCTCCATACCCCCACCCATATTTTTTTTTACCAGAAATTCCTCTGGTAGCTTCTCACAATTCTGAGTTGTCTTTTTCAGCCCTCTTGTAAGGAGGGTTGCCTTGAAAAAGTCCCAGTGCCCACTCTAAGCCAGCATTTCCTCTCCTCCCCCATCCCACTTTGAATGACCAGCCCCTCATCTCTGACCCCACAGGCTTTTGCTGCAGGTGGAGCCCTAGCCTGGAACCCTGAGCTCTGGGGTTCACCTACATCTGTTATTCATGCTCGTACCCCAC